TTCAGTTCTCAACTAATTCTGTTTTACTTCAGATTTGTCCACTACACTATCAGCGACTTCCACACAGACAAGAGCAGGACTTGCAGCAGCAGTATGTGCAAAATAATTAATACTGGTGCTGCTACTGGCAGCTCACCAGCAGCACATTGGAGACCCATGTAACAGTGTGCACATACCTGCAAAAGGGATGCCAGGCAGCCAGGCAGCCTGGTCATAATAGCTATGTTAAGATGGTGGTGTTTAGAAGGTTTAATGTTTATTACGTTCACCATTATAGTTTAATGTGTAAGCATCATTTATCCTGAGGGAGACATTATGCTTTGGACTTAATTATCAAATAGTCATCCAAACATTTTACTCTAAAGTGCAAGTGTCAGCTTCAAGGTGGTGCTCGAAGAAAAGCCAGGGGATCATAGGCATCACTAGGGTTCATCATCTGGGAAAGTGAATGCATATACCAAAACGTCACAACAATCCATCCTGTAGTTTTTGAGTAGTCGACCTACTGGCAGTCAGACCTGTATTGCTGTCCACAGAGCAACACAGCTAGTATGACTATAAACAAAACAGGAGCACCCTTGTAGATACTTCAAATATAAAATGAAGCCTGATTGTTTATGCTAATAATGTGCAGATATGCTATTTGATTTTGCCAAACATTGAACTAATGATGCTCACAAATGAAGAATAACAGTTTTTCCTTGTGCCATTTCTACTACAATCAACATTTTCCATTATATCTTAGATGTAAGTCTCTATAAACATAATACAGGCTGACTTTAAATTGAGGTCTTAGGCTTCTGTTTTACCACAATACAAACCATTGTATTGTGCAGCTGTTTCTGGCAATGATTTTGTGTAAAAATTCTCTGCAGTGACATGCATGAATAATTTACTGTATTATTGCTGAGAGGCATGATGGGACAAGCTACAAAAGGAAAACTTGGAGTGTACAAAAAGGGATTTTCCTGTAAAAATGTGCATGTGAATGTTCAAGTGCAAACCCCTCTAAGCTCCTCTCTAACCTCACCTGGCAGTCTAATGAGCACAGGACAAGGCCCATCAGCTGAAATAAGCCTTAAACTGGTTAAAGAGCAGACCAAATGATTACGTTGGGTGGAGTGACATCAGTTTTATTCCTCAGCAGCACACCTATCACTTCCATTTCTACACAAAAAAGGAGACAAAACAAAAAAGGTAGAAAAAATGATGGGCTGGCAGAAAAGTAGGCAACACAGACTTTGAAAGGACATCCCAACTCACTCACAATCATCCTCCCACCAACAACACATGCTCCATCCTCTCATTTCAACCAGTGCATGTCTAAGGTCCAGCCTTGGGGAAATCAAATCAACAACAATACAAGACTTGCAGTGTTGACTGAGGCTGCGGACAATCATCAGAGTTAATCAGTTGAGGAGCAGAGGAACCAGACCTCACCTGGCTGCAGGAGGCAGGTAAAGATAACCATGCCTTTCCTTTGTAATAAATCTGTTTGAGAGAGAAGGAGTGAAATTGTTTTCATATGGATTACATCTGATTTGATCTTTGGCTTTGATGTGGTGCACCTTTCTAGCTTCTGTTTCAAAGCATACAGTACAAGTGGGAAAGTAGCTTGGCAAACAAAAGGTTTTCACAGAGTGAGATGTAAATGTATCAATACTTAAATATACTGCTCAAAAAAATAAAGGGAACACAACATAAGACATCCTAGATCTGAATGAATGAAATATTCTTATTAAATACCTTGTTCATTACATAGTTGAATGTCTGATTTTCCCTTGTGTTCCCTTTATTTTTTTGAGTAGTGTATATGGTCTTTTTCATAAATTAATCTGCTTAAATCAAGATCAAGATAAATCCTCTTATAGTTCATTACAACCATTTTACAAACAAGCCTGCCCAGTGAAATGAATGAACAGCAACTGTGCTTGTTGAAAGTTTTCAAATGACATATTCTAGCAAAGTCACGTTTATTGCCAGACACAATAATTACCGATAAACATCTTCTCTGCTCTGGATGCAGTAAACCATGCTAACTCTTCCAAATAATTCAAAGTCATGAAGTGGATTTCTGCATAGCCATCAACTGGAGCCAGTCATGCAAAACCCAAGCAGTGCAAGTACAACCCCTTGTGTAATTAACATAGCTGGCTCATTCACAAAGCCCCTGGCAGGAAATGAGTATTATCATGTTCCTCTGCATGTGTTTGTCCTTAGTATATCAGATAGATCGTAGCCGACATTTGTTCTCAGTAATATACTGCATGTTCTGCTTTGCAGAGATCTGTGACTCACCATTCTCAGCAGCTACAGCAGGATATTGAATTGGACATCTTGAATGGAAGGGTACTTTGTATGTTGTGTGGGAACATAAATGAACCAATTCAACTCACAACCAATTTCAGTTAAATCATTTAAAAAACATACCCAATGTTGGTTTCTTTACACATCATTAATTGTATATTTATTCACATTCCTGACACCTTGAATAAGTGTTTCGTTGCTCTAATTTTTGAGTACATGTAAAAAGATGCATGTGCCTACCCTTTGTGAAGCTAAAAAGAATATTATCTTTTGTGCTAAATCCTGAACAGATGGACAGTTTGATTTTTTATTATTTCATCCCTCAGTCTTTAATAGTAAGAGTTCTGAGTGGATGCAAATCCTCAGTGTAGAAGTAACATGCTGTCTGTCCTGTTGTTTAACAGACTTAATTACATGCCAAATGACTGTAAGTCAGTACTATCTGTAGTTTGGTTTACACTGCACCATATTCAAAGACAAGATTTTGTCAGTTCTCCCTTTATTATGAGCTCAAAAGCTTTTATATGATGTTTACTTTAAGAACAAGGATTAGGCAGATCTATAAATAACTAAACACTGTCATTAAGAGATAAAGGTGGAGAATGGTATGCAAAAGATGCAAGTCACTTAAGGCTAACCAGCCAACTAGCCAAGTTTGTTAGAACTGTACAGTGACTGATGCAAACATGTGTCTATTCATTGAAACAGTAATTTGTCTTTGACACACAGTTCCTATAAATGTGCTCAGAGCAAACATTTTAATGTTTAAAAACCTGTAGAGGAACAACACCGTTCACCTTTGCAAACACAGGAGGAGCTCTAAAGGGTTTGCATGGATAAGTCTTGCTCCTGTGCTCACACAAATCAGCTGGGATTATTCTGTTGCATTCAGGCTTTTGTCATCATCACTGGAAATTAGCCCGGTCTCATGCTAGCATGTTGAAAGGTCACTAATCCTGACACTAGCTAGCTTCTGCAAAAACAATTTGCCAGGCCAGTGTGCTGTAAAATCCCTCCAGATTAAGCCTGTCCTCCCTCCCATAATGCTATTACCTTCTCTGCAGACCTTTTCTACTTCAGCAGAGTGCGTCATCATTGTGCTTTGTACTTCACAGTACATGTAGAGCCAGAACCTTCCCTCTTAACATCATAATCTGAGATAACTTCATAGCACCACCCTGTTCACACAGATTTCAGCCAAATAATAAGGATGCGCCACTTTATTTTATAAGTGCATTTTAACATAAACTACAGTGAAGTCATTGCTGTTTGCACACAGCTGCTATCAACAGATTGTAAGTCTCATCCTGCTGGAACTATTCAAGATTAGTTAGACTGTGGCCAAAAAGAAACACATGCTCAGAAATAATATTTAGATACCCTGTGGTGTCAAATTCATATGATGTATTTTGGAATTTATGGGATCTATGTGCCAAGAAAACTCTAAAGGATTAGGCAGAAAACACGCAATTATACCGACCTGTATTTGTGTACTTAATTATATTGTCTGTTGACTGCAAACACTCTAAGATCTTAGCTCTAATGTGCAGCAAACGGATTAATTAATCCTGATCATACTGTGTATGGCAGCAGCACAAAGGACTCACAAAGGATTTAAGTTAAAAAGAGACTGAGCATGTCACCGAGGGACAAACAATTGTGCTGTGGAAGTCAGAAAACAAAAATTGCCCATGTCCCAAGTTCTGAAGTGGTTTAGCACATGATATACAACGATGGGATCATGACCTCTGATCCCTGCAGAATCTAATTGACCGAAAGAAGCTTTGGTGTCATCATGAGTGACAGGCTGGCACAAGATGAATGACAAAGCTCATGGTACAAATACAGGGATGTGAGAGGTACAGCCTCATCATTTGGGACTACACTTGCAGAGGAAAGACAAAGACAAGAGGGAATTTACAGAATTTAAGGTAAGATGGGTTTCTCAAAAGCAGAATCATTGATGAATGCCAGGGTTGGTAGTTTGGTAGATGTTTGTCTTGCAGATTTATGCAAGCATGAATCACACTTTCTCCATTTGTGCCATACCTCATACTTCAAAGCTGGGTCATCAAGCTTTGACCCCTCTGAGGTGAGAAAGCTGGAGCACATCTCTCAAAATAGGTGTGCTGGCTTTGTCTTTGTAGTGCACTCATCCATGAAAAAGCATGACCTACTCAAAATGAGCTCCAGACAAATGTGGAAACTATAAAGAATTTAAACAAGCACCAGATGGTTGCTGAGAGGAATCAAGTAGAGGTTTTAGCCAACGGATGGAAGAAGATGGTAGTACTGGCTTTGGATTCTGTTTATTCTCTGCTCTTTTAGGCCTTTTGCATCTCACCTTTCCTCCTAGTACAATGTGTGCAATGCTTAGCTGAAATGTACGCTTGCATGTTTATTTGCATGCATCACTGTATTAGCCAAACACACCAATACAAGGAGACTGTGCAACTTACAACTGACATACAGTACAAAGTCTTCAGTTATGAGCTTTAAGGTTGTCTTAATGCAATTAAATTTAATCTGATTCGGCTTCCTGTCTTTGGACTTTTAGCTACCACTGGCAGCAAAACAATGACCCAGAAAGAGAAGGCTAATCATAATATGATTAGTGGTAGCGTAGGTGGCATAAACTCATGGTGGTGACTGAGTTGGGACGCAGTTTGCATAGTAGTTTAATTCTATATGAAGCAAATCATTGAATTGGTAGCATTATAAATGTAAGGCCTTGGCAAGACAGTTGTTAATCTAGACACAGGTTCTCAAGCATAGACTGTTTTATGGGTCATCATTTAAAGTGTGGTCTTAATTCCTCCAAGCCCCCAATCCTTTGCAAATCATAACATCTTATTTGAAACTTTTTACCTTCAATAAAGCAGTCAGGTGCTTCTTTGGTTTTGTGACACTATGTAGCATATTGCACAGATATTTGTCTATAACATAGTTTTTTTTTCTCCTTTTCTATCATAGGTTGGACAGTGAAATGGCACTTCTACTTAGCTTTCTCTATATTTTGAGTCTGGTTGGTCCAGTTCTTAACCAGGACATGCCTTATGAGGAATACATGGCCCAGATCCAGGCCTGCCCTCAAGAATGTCGCTGTCTACCAAACTTTCCTCATGCTGTCTACTGTGACAATAAAGGTCTAAAGAGTATCCCCAAAATTCCTCCATACACATGGTATCTCTACCTGCAGAACAATCAAATCGAGGTGCTGTCAGCAGATGCCCTGCGTAATGCTACACAACTGCGCTGGATGAACCTAAACCACAACAAAGTCACGAGTGAAGGAGTTGAAGAAGGTATCCTGAACACAATGTCTCACCTGGCGCATCTATACATGGATGACAACCTCTTGTCTTCTGTGCCATCTCCCCTGCCAGCCAGCCTGGAACATCTACGTCTCTCTCGCAATCGCATTTCCAAGATCCCTGCAGGTGTTTTCAAGGGTCTCAACAAACTTAGCCTCCTGGACCTCCAGGGAAACAAGCTGATGGATGATGGTGTGACTGAAGTGAGTCTGAAGGGTCTAAACAACCTGGTACAGATCAACCTAGCCAAGAACCAGCTGACAAGCATGCCTCTGGGCTTGCCACCCACCACCACTCAGCTTTATCTTGATGGCAACAACATTGACAAGATCCCAGCTGGATATTTCAAAGGTTTGCCTAAAGTAGCGTTTCTGAGGCTTAACCACAACAAGCTTGGCAGCAGTGGCATTCCCAAAAATGTCTTTAATATCTCCAGCATTTTAGACTTGCAGCTGTCCCACAACCAGCTGAGTGAGATTCCCCTCATTCCCTCTGGTCTTGAACACCTTCACCTTGACCACAACAAGATCAAAAGTAAGTCTGTGGCATTTTTCCAAAGCGCCTACTCTATTTTTTTCTGATTATAATGATCCATTTGAGCTAAGGATGCACAGAATCTTTCTTTTAGGCTTCTCTTAAATAGAATTGTTCATCAAACAGGTATTCTGTAATGACATTGTAAGTGTTACAATGCTAATTCCCCTTGTGCTTTCACAGATGTGAGTGGTTCCAGTGTCTGCCCTGTCTCAGCTGATGGTGTTGATGACTATTTCGATGAAAGTGGTCCTCGACTGAGCTACCTCCGACTGGATGGCAATGAGATTCAACCACCAATTCCTCATGATGTCATCCAGTGCTTCCGCTTTCTGAGGTCCATTGTCATCTAAGAAGAGGACATTTTTAAGCATTTTGTTGGCTAATTCTGATCCAATGACATGGCAATGAGAATGCTAGTCTGATAAATGAGACCTATGAAACCATATGCCAAAAATGCTGACACAGGTAATATTTGCATGTTTGTGAAATATTTTAAACTAGCTGCCCTCACCTTATTTTATTGTTGTGTCTCGGGGAAAAGCAAATTTCTCAGTGGAATCGAAATAAAATCCAAAAGGGACACCAAAGTTGATAAGGACATGATTGGTTAGGAGCTTTAACTGATGCTGCAATCTGTTGACCTAGTTGTGCCTTATATTGATGTAAACATCTGCATGTAGAATTCTGAACAAAATCTATTACAATGTAGCATGACAATAATTTTAGAAGATAGATATGTGGAGATCTTTGCAAAGTCACTGTCATTACTCTTCTTTACACAGAAGACCAGCTTGTGAGTGGTCTTATGTTCTAGGATTGTGGGTTTACTAAAAGATTATTCTATTCAACAAATGTGCATATTTACTGCAGGTAATTTATTTTTATTTAATATTGAATAAAAGTACAAACCTGTGAAAATTCATGGCCAATAGTCCTTAACGTTTTGTATATGAAAGGGATAAATATTTTTTACAAATGACAGCACAGTTTTAATTCTGGATTTCTGAACAACATTAATAAATGTAAATAATTTGAATAAAACCTCTGAAAATGAACCTATACCTCTGTATAATGTTTTCTCTTTTTTTTATAATTTCAGATCCAAATGTGCATGAATTTAAGGTTAACTTTAATGAACAGCAGGCCTAGCCTATTAGAACAACAAAAAAATGTTGATAGGTTGGCACAGACCACACAAAGTAGAATCTGGATATTGTTCCTGTGGTTTCAATTGGCATAATCCTAAATCTTCTTCAACAAACATGAAGTAAGGTCCCCCATTAATTTTTATAGTCTTTTTACAGTCTGTCAAGACACGTGGAGGCACACAGAGGCACCTGGAATCATAACAGTGCAGTAAGGTGTAACATACATGCAGCTGGCACAGTTTACACGACTGCTATGATTCAAGACAGTTAATGATGCCAGCAAAGCATTGCCCTTGTCAAACTTAGCATGTGTCTTGGTGAGTCTTTTGACATTGTGGAAATTATTAACTACCAATGGTAGACTATTACCACTTAGATAATAAAACTAAATTTTAAATAAACGTGACAAGTTGCACATTGTTCAGAAGCATGAACGCCACTTTCGGCTTTTCCTGTTAGGGGTCGCCACAGCAAATCGTCACACTGATGATTTGCATGTTGACATTTTGCTGTGGAGATTTTTTATTTTGTTTTTTAGGCAGCTATTTTAGCTACCTAGTTAACATGGGCAGTATCTGTTTTTAGAAAGTAACTGACATTTGATGATATTAGTTTTAGGTGCTTTCTGCAGAGAGAGAAAGAGCTGTGGGGCAGCAGAGGGGAGCACAACTTTGCAGAGCTACATTCAAACAACCAGCAGACCAGTGACATTTCCTACATGATTAATTCATGTCAAGTAGGCCTGTTGGAAGTAGGAAAATAAAGTAGTCTCTATCTGATGAGTTTTATCTTTAGCATAATGTTACAGAGAGTGCTTTTCTGTAGGGGGCTATCCCCTGAAGCTCCAGTTCACAGAGCCTTGGAGAGTCTGGTGATCAAGTAAAAAGTGGGTAGAGCAGTCGTCTCCCAACCGGAAGGTTTGAAGGTTTGAATCTCGGTGCCTGCAGTCTACATGTCGAAGTGTCCTTGGGCAAGACACTGAACTCCCCCCTTGCCCTTGATGGTTAGAACCATCAGTTGAGTTGGTGCCGCAGATGGCTGCCTCTGTTTTGTACTGGAAACAAATTCCTTGTGTGTAACATACTTGGCCAATAAAGGTGATTATCCTTATATTGTACAGTACATACAAAACTATATAGGCCTATAGTTTACTACTCCAGTCTGGGCTTCACTGGGGCTTACTGAGTCATTCATGACTATTCAGACTATTCAGTTAATATGGCAGGTGCAGAACTGCTTCTGACCGTTTTCACCTCACTCATCAAAAGGTTTAGAGTTACCATGGGAGAGTGGGAAGGCTGAGACAAAACTGTGGCCAAACAAATCTGACAGGATAAAGCTAGTCAGTAGCTTCCTGTGTCCAACTTCTCGATTTAACAATGGGGCTCAATGACAAACTGATTCTGTGTGTGTGTGTGTGTGTGTGTGTGTGTGTGTGTGTGTGTGTGTGTGTGTGTGTGTGTGTGTGTGTTTCTTTGAATGCACATTTAGATCTGTACAGAACTGAAACTTGCATTGATGTAACCTCAGATCAGTTTATTCTTCTTCAAATCAGATTATGCTATCCCATGGCCAAATGTAGATCTGTGGTTATAGCAGATCCTAGCAAGTGACAGTACAAAGAGGAAGTAGCTTCAACCAAAAGGGAGGGAAGAGGCCTTCCTCCAACCGGGTACTTCCTCTCAGCAATATGCTAACAGGAGCTCCTCACAGAGGTCCCATTGTGTACAGGGGTCCTGTGGATCCCCCATACATGAAAGCACCACAAACCAAAGTTTCACCTCAGGAAAAGGTGGACAAATATTTCACTCTTAGATAAATAAAGGACATGCTTGTAAGAGATAAAAAGGTATTTTGCCACTGGGGGGGCTTTTCTCTCTCTCTCTTTCTGTTTTCAGATGGCTGTGTGTGTCTGTTTGAGAGGGTTGTGAATGCAGATGCAGGGTGGGGTGGGTGCACTCCAAGTGACCAAAAGCCATCTACTCTGGTCCAATCAGTCTTAGTGCCTACTTTCATACATAAGCGGCAAGGCACTCACGTCTGCCAGAGCACACAGACCTACACACGCAAACACACTTGTCACACTTACACACACAACACACACACACACACATCTTTCACACACTTCATACACACCCTCCCTCTTCAAGGCACCCTGCACGACCTCTCACCACTGGCCAAGACCTGGAGCCCTCAGCATCTCCATCGCAGCTGAAGGGACCATTCAGGAAAGCAGGAGACAGAGGTAAGTGTTCTTGGTGCTATCTTCATACCTGGGAAATGTCTCTCTGGTGCATTGGAGAGGGGCTTAAGTAGCCCCTCCAAAAGTTCTGCTATTCAGGGTTTGCATTGGAACTGCTGGTCATGGTGTTGATGGCACAGCTGCTTGGTTTTTGCTCAGGGATTTGCTTTGGGGGTTTTGCAGATGTCTGAAATCTGGATATCTTTATTCTCCTGTAGCAATGATAGTGATTGTGAAATGCATTATAAGCTTCACTCTGTAAGCTTATAAGCTTGTAGTTTCATAAGCTTTTAGTCAATGTGATTCAGGTGTGAGTGTCCAGCAGGTGGTTTTTGGATTAGTGACAACCTTGATGATAATGATTTAATTAGTATTTTTGAGAGCTACAGTACAGTATTTCTTTCCTTTGATGCAGTTTCAAATCAGGTTTCAAGATCTAACTCTGTCAGCCATTTTTATCCAAATTACATTCTCCCAATTTAGGAAAATGAATGATATCAGACAGAATTTGGGGGGGGGTTGCCCACTGTCACCTGCTTAAAATTCTTTCAACCTTTTTATGATAGAAATGCACAGGTTTTTGCATCCAGCAGCAAAAGGATATCTGTCAAGTTTGTTTGTGGCTTTTGAGGGAAAACGTAGGATCACTGAATATCAGGAA